TTTCTCGTACCGTATGAATTTCGAATCCTCGTGGCCAAGTGTGTTATGGAGTACGAATGTTTTTCTTCCTACGTATGAATCCGAATACTTCGTCGCCAAGTGTTGTATGGCGAACGACAGTTTTTTTTTCTTCCGCATGAGTTCGAATCCTGGTTGCCAAGTGTTGTAGGCGAACGAAAAGTTTTTCTTCCCCCGTATGAGTTTGAATCCTCGTCGCCAAGTGTTGTAGAGTGGTTTCACAGTGGAGGCTTGTATTTGTACTAATTCGGTCCTAAAATAGGTTCGACGTACAAAACGTTAGGAACTTAATATAATAGGTAATGACGCAGTAATCCAGTTGTGGTGGCTGATACTTTAATATCCGACTAACGGTCGTCCGACATCGACTCACTGACCAACTCCCACTGCTCCTACTTATTATAGGTGGGAGAGTCTATTAAATATAGAATAGGCGTGTTCCACTATAGGAAGTCTGTTCCGATTTTGTGTTTTTTTGTCATCCACAATCTTCAAATATTTATATGCAACGTCAATCATCTTCGCTGTTTCTCATCAATAAAATGTTATCATTCTCTTCAACTTGCGTCTTAGTGGCATTATTGCCTTGCTTGGAGTCAAATGGTTAAACACATTCTGTTCTTTTGTTGTCCTTCCTGTTTATTTTACTCTTCGTAACTTCTTGCATCATAATGGCCTTTATTGCTTTACTTGGATTGAAATGATTTAAAAAGCAGTTTATTGTAATAAATATGTGGCCGACTAAAGTAAATTCATTTTTCTTTCTTCATTAAATCGAGGAAATAGCCTTTTTATTTTTTAAAACTATTGGTCATCTAATACAAAAGACAAGAGCGATTCAGTAGAGTGTTAGTGGCATTATCGTTTGAAAATATGGTTAAATATATTGAATTCATTGATATAAAGAAAAACGGTAAAATGATTTAAATTCTTAGTCATCCACAGAACGACCGTGCAAAATGGTACAATTAATTGACGTCTTTTCTTGTTCAATTAAGCTCTGAGGTATTTAGATACATTATCCTTGGACTTCTTGTATTTGACCTTTCAGGACATGGGTGATTATGACTCTCCACGCCTCCCATTCGTTGTAAGCTCTTAGTAATGTTTTTTTCATTATCTCTCCCAGGTCTTCTTCAGCCAACACAAGCTGTTTCCCTCTATTTGTTTTGTATTCAGTATGTTCTGCGGGTGACGAATTCTTCAAGGCGTGGTTTTCGTACGATCACCGAAGATAAGCAACGTCGAACCTGGCCAATAGCTAGTTGTGTGACCACTTGGGCATACCAGGTGCTGTAAGTTTGGATGTGCAGGTGGTGTAATGAACAACGGCTTGGAATTGTTATTCGAAGAGCCGAGTTCCAATTCCAGTCTATTTCGTTATATTCACTTTAAGCAAATGCTCTTGGGAGAGACATAAATCTACCCTCCCCAGGTACGTGTTAATTAATAAAACCGTATCACTAAACCATTGTTCTGTCCAAAAACATTCTTACAATCTAAATAAATCTTCTGGCTTTAAATAACCTACAATGGGCTGACAAAAGTTGGAAAACGAATCAATCAATATGCATCGTAGAAATGTCAAATGTTTCTTTTTGATTCTCTGTATTTGTTTTTTTTATTTCAAATCATTATATCAACTATCCGTCCTTGCATGGAATATTGCTGTCATATATGGTCTGGTGCTGCCACCGTACGTCTCGATGTCCTCGACAAAATCCAGAGACAAAATATGCAATGTGATAGGTCCTGATCTGGCATCTCGTCTACAGTCACTTTCTCACAGACGTGCCGTGGCTTCCCTCTATCTCTTCTACAAGTATACGGCAACTGTTCCGACGAGCTACTTTCGCTGGTTCCCAGACTGCATGAATTTAAGCGAGCTACTAGTCCGGCATCTCCCCCCACCCTTTAACTGTCAAAACGGTAAATGTAACCGTCTCTTCTACACTACAGATTCTTCTCTCACACTTCCCGTCTGTGGAACTCCCTTCCTCTTACTTGCTTCCCTAACTATAATCTTCAAATATTCAAGAGTAATGCCGATCGACATCTTCTGATGCCTTGATATTGTTCCCCGCCCTACTCTGTTCCTTTCCTCAAACCCGTCTCTTTACCCTCGTTCTCAATCTTTGCGTGGTAGTGGCACTTCCGACTTGCTTGGAGTGAATTGCTTTCAAAAATATTCTTCATTGTTCACGTGTTCTGTCTATGGTGTTCTCAGATTTGTAGAACCACAGAAGAAACTGTCCTGCATTCACTGCCTTATAAATTCCCTTATATCAAGATATTTTGAATAAAATCTTATTGTCTATCTAACAGAGAAAGTGGGTACCTCGAGGCGGTGTAATGATTAGCAAGCTTGTCTCGCTGTAATAATTACGACTGAGTAGTGAGTTCGATCCTCACTGGGTGCCCCCTACTTTCGGCCTTATGCCACATCTAAGCTACGCTTGGAAAACCAGGGCACCTCGTGGCGGTGTAATGGTTAGCAATCTTGTCTCAGTAAAACGATTACGACTGAGTAGTGAGTTCGATCCTCACTGGGTCTCCTCTACTTTCGGCTTTGTGCCACATCTAAACGACGCTTGGAAAATCACTATAACAGAGAAAATCACCAATGAAAATAATTAAAGGACTATTACAACTTAGCTCATGGAAATAGCAGGATATCTACTTAGATTTTAATCTGTGTAAAGCTGGGGGTTAAATTGCAGGTTTGACTGGACTTTCTAAAGATGAAAACTCTTAATTATAAACCGTAAAGAAGACAAAGAGAATACATGGCAATTAACAGATAATAAGGATATTTTCTGGAAATTGTCTACATCGTTTTGTTTGCCACAACTTCCTGCAAGTAGATTATCTTTTAAGCATAAAGACAGCAGGGAAAATCTACGCGCCTGACATCACTTGACTTGATCTATTTTCGTGCGGATCTAAAAGCTTTTCGCATGGATATAAAAGCTTTCAAGATTAAACGAAATTTGCAACCATTACACTGACCTTAATTCTAAAGTCAAGAGGCAGTAAGACTCTACATACTTAACTATGTCAGAATTTATGCAATTCAACGTTTTCACAACATAATTGATGTAAACAAACAGCTGTTTGTAAACAAGCCGTCAACCAACGAGTTACTAATATTTACAACGTGTAATCATATTTAAATTCTAAATGTGCCATGATATCCACTTTTATTAGAAATATTTACGATAACATATTTTCTGTATTGATTTGTTCGCTTATGGCATGTTAACGTTTTGAAGGTTATTTAAAGCCAGAAAATATGTTATATTATAAGAATTTATTTAAGATAAAAAAACAGCTTGTGTTGGCTGAACAGGAACTGAGTGAGATAATGAAAAAACATTACTAAGAGCTTACAAAGGATTGGGAGATGTGGAGAGTCATGATTACCCATGTCCTTCAGGTTCAAATACAAGAAGACTAAGGATAATGTACCTAAGGACCTAAGATCTTAATGCCCCAAGAAAAGACGCCAGTTAATTGTATCTGCACGATCGTTCTGTGTATGACGCTAAGAATTTAAATCATTTTGCCATTTTTTCCTTATATCAATGAATTCTATATATTTAACCATATTTTCAAACGATTTTACTCCATGCAAACGATAATGCCACTAATAGTATATATTGAGAGGCCCTTGTCTTTTGTATAAGGTAACCAATAGTTTAAAAAGATAAAAGGTAAATATACTCGATATAATGAGGAAAGAAAAATGAATTTGCTTAGAAATTCAGTGGATCAAATTACAATAGACTTTTTTAAATCATTTCAATCCAAGTAAAGCAGTAAAAGCCCTTATGATACAAGACGTTACGAAGAGTAAAAGAAACAGAAAGGACAACAAAAGAAAAGAATATGTTTAACCATTTGACCCCAAGCAAGGCAATAATGCCACTAAGACTCAAGGGAGTCGAAGAGAATGTTAAAATTTTATAGTGGAGAAAAGACAATAAAAGAACAGCTTCAGGAAGTTAATTGACGTTGCATATAAATATTTGAAATTGTAAATCAGATTTTACTGGTACAAGTCCTATTAATTGACCCGTTGGTGGGGAATTTTCACCCGCAGAACATACTGAATACAACAGTTTGTAATGACTGAACAGGCACTGGGGGAGAGATAGTGAAAAAATATTACTAAGAGCTTACAAACGATGGGGAGTTCTGGAGAGCCATGATCATCTATGTCCTAATCGGTCAAATACAATAAGTCCAAGGATAATCAATCCAATGACCACAGAGAAAAGACATAATTAATTGTACCATTATGCAAGGTCGCTTCTGTGTATGAATAAAAATTTAACCATTTAGCCATTTTTTTTCTTTATATCAATGAATTGTATATATTTAACCATGTTTTCAAACGATTTCACTCCAAGCAAGCGATAATGCCACTAATACTCTATCTTGGGCGGCTCTTGTCTTTTTTATTATGTGACCAATAGTTTAAAAAAATAAAGAGGTCAATTTTCTCGATGTAATGAGGAAAGAAAAATGAATTTGTTTAGATAATCAGTCGGTCACGTGTTTATTACAATAAACTGTTTTTTTTAAATCATTTCAATCCAAGTAAGGCAGTAAAAGCCATTATGATACAAGAGTAAAAGAAACAGAAATGACAATAAGAGAACAGAATGTGTTCAACCATTTTACCACAAGGAAGGCGATAATTCCACTAAGACGCAAGGGAGTTATTGGGAATTGAAGAGAATGATAAAATTTTATTGAGGAGAAAGGACAATAAAAGAACTGCATTCAGGAAAACGATTGACGTTGCATATAAATATTTGAAGTTTGTAGATCAGATTTTACTGGTATAACTCTTAGTAATTGACCCACTAGTGGGGAGGAGATGTAGATTCATATCTTTTTCGAGGGTTATTTGAGAAAGAACCTGACTGGAATTAAACTCGGCATAGCTCTCTTTCAATTCTGAGCTGCCACCAATGCTTACAGCACATAGTATTTCCAAGCGGTTATCCATCTAGTACCTAACCAAGCTCTGCGTTGCTTAACTTCGGTGATCGTACGAGAACTGCTGTTTCAACGAAATATGGACGGAAACCAAATTTTCTTTTGAATGACTTTATCATTCAAATTCAGTGTTGGTCGTCATGTAAATATATACATAACGAGTGTAACAGCAAAATTGTCCAAATCGTGTAACAGCAAAATTGTCCAAATCGTGTAACAGCAAAATTGTCGATTTGTGAGGTTAAGCTTTGAACCGTTGTATCTTAGAAATAATTACAGACATCTTACTGGAATTCTTCGAGGTTTTTATAACACTATTGACATCTACTTTAAACAATGAGAATGTATTGAGCTCTAAGTTGAAATGATGATCCCTCTTGCAGTTTTGACCTCCTGATCCAGTTTCCCTCTTGCAGTTTTGACCTCCTGGTCCAGTTTCCCTCTTGCAGTTTTGACCTCCTGATCCAGTTTCCCTCTTGCAGCTTTGACCTCCTGATCCAGTTTCCCTCTTGCAGTTTTGCCCTCCTGGTCCAGTTTCCCTCTTGCAGTTTTGACCTCCTGGTCCAGTTTCTCTCTTGCAGTTTTGACCTCCTGATCCAGTTTCCCTCTTGCAGCTTTGACCTCCTGATCCAGTTTCCCTCTTGCAGTTTTGCCCTCCTGGTTCAGTTTCCCTCTTGCAGTTTTGACCTCCTGGTCCAGTTTCTCTCTTGCAGTTTTGACCTCCTGGTCCAGTTTCCCTCTTGCAGTTTTGACCTCCTGATCCAGTTTCCCTCTTGCAGTTTTGCCCTCCTGGTCCAGTTTCCCTCTTGCAGTTTTGACCTCCTGGTCCAGTTTCCCTCTTGCAGTTTTGCCCTCCTGGTCCAGTTTCCCTCTTGCAGTTTTGACCTCCTGGTCCAGTTTCCCTCTTGCAGTTTTGACCTCCTGATCCAGTTTCTCTCTTGCAGTTTTGACCTCCTGATCCAGTTTCCCTCTTGCAGTTTTGACCTCCTGGTCCAGTTTCCCTCTTGCAGTTTTGACCTCCTGGTCCAGTTTCCCTCTTGCAGTTTTGACCTCCTGGTCCAGTTTCCCTCTTGCAGTTTTGACCTCCTGGTCCAGTTTCCCTCTATCTCTTTTTAAACCTTATCGTTCTCTTGATGCTTCTTGAATGAACTTTGAAGATCCAAACCATCCAAGTATGAATGTTGATATCATTACTGAAGGCCGGAATGATCTTTTTCTTCTTAACATTGCTCAGTTGGAAAAACATAGTGGGACTGACCCAAAACGATTTTAACCTTTTCTCAAAGGGTTTTTCAGTGATTCTTACAACAAATTCTATCAAGATAACTAAACGTCTTATCTGAAAACCTGGAAGAAATAAACTCAATTAGTTTAATGCTTTTTTTAGATATTAAATATTTTGTGGGATGGAAAATTATCCCAATGCTGTCACACGATTTGGAGAATTTTGCTTTTACAACCAGTATATATACATAGATGCAATAGTATATATTTATACTATTTACATTATTCGGACTATTGTCCTCATCTTTGTCGCCATACTTATTACAATGTTTCGGCCATTGTACGCTCCGGCCTTCTTCAGATGGTTGGAATGTGGAACTGAACCGTTTATTTCGCTCACTGGGGTAGACTGGGGTAGTGTACATAACTCAGAAATATAGACAGATACTATAAATTTATGTTTAATTTTAATTTCAGATACATAAAGATTGCAATGTGTCGTAAAACTGCTATATTGATTTATTTGTTTTTTACGACTTATCCACTTTTTGCACGGTATTTAAAGCCAGAAAATATTTTAGATTGCCTTTTTGGATAATAAGGATTTTACTGATAAAACTCTTACTAAGTAATCCGATTCATAATACCGAGCCGTTATCCATGACAACAACAGCATATCCAAGAACCTAGTATTCACAAGCGATCACCCATCTAGATACTGACCAGGCTCGACGTTGCTTAACTTCGATGATCGTAGGAGAATCGGTGTTTCTACGTGTTATGACCATAAGCCGGAAAGCGCTCTAAGCACAAAAGAGAAACAGCATAAATTGTTAATGGAATTCACCCCATGTAATACAATAAAGTCACTAAGACAGAAGGATGTGAAAGAATTCTAAAACACAAGTATTACTTAGGAACGAAAATAAGCGAAGCGGAATCAGAAAGACAATAGATAAAAATTGACACTGCATTTAAATTTCGGAATATCAAACTTGACTGGAAAGTCAGTACTGCGAGAAAAGAAACTCTTAACATAGAACTTACAGTTACATCTAGCCAATTCAAATGTAAACCGATGGGACCTTCGTGCTAATCTAGTACTGCGATTAAATTTATAAAGTCTAGGTCCCATAGCAAAGAGTGATATCTATTTCCGCTTCAATACAGAAAATGTGGCATAAGGCCAAAATCGGGAGATAAGGACGGTGTTCTTCTGTCTTAACTTTAAACTTAGCTAGCCACAATCACTGAGCCAATCATACAACAATATTAGTTACACCAAAACAACGCATTCTTACTTACCTTTACTGCTACATTCACCATAATGCCTCATTGTCTCTATGAAAGTCCTAACTCGTCTCCATTTGTACAATTCATTGTCTGCGAGGGGAGGGGAATAAAACAACAATTTAAAAACTAACCCCAACGTGTATGTACAATATGAAAACAAAAACTATTTACAAGAAACTAAACAAAGTAATGTTAGTATTAACCCCACTAACACACACACACACACACACACACACACACACACATACACACAAATAAAATACCATAGCAAAGAGCAATATTTATTTGTAAAAAATTCAAATGTTGCACGAGGCCAAAATGGGGAATAGGAAAAAGGACGGTCCTAATCCTAACTAGTCCGCTTATGTACAATTCATTGTCTGTCAAGTGAGGGGAATAAAAACAAAATAGTAAAGAGATCACCCTAACAATTACCATGAAAGTTTTTATAGAAGAAGCACAGGGAAGCAACTTAGGGTAGGAAGTTGATTGAAGTCGAGATGCCAGGTCAGGTCCAATAAAATTACCGATTATATTTAGATTTTATCAAAAATCTACAACGGGAACACATGACCATATGTGGCAACAATATTCAAGGCATGGACGAATTATAGACTTATAAATATGTAAGATAGATTCAGGAGAGAAAAATTGTTCTTAACAGCAAACCTAGAAATGGATTCAATACCGTCTTTCCACTTCATGTCACCCTAGAATAAAAAAGAAATAAATTGAAGACATGATATGAACAGAAAAAAAAGGCTTTTTGAATGCCGCAAAATCATATTTATGGATGGATGAGAAGCAAGTAGACTAAGAAACTTGTGTTGCAATTATAATCAGAAAAGAGATGCAGAATTTTTTTTAAAAAATAACAAAAAGATAACAGAAATTAGAGAAAGATATAAAAAGATATTGAAAAAAAATGTCAAGTAAAAAACGATCTTTAACAATGTCCCAAAATGATATTAGAAAAATTTTACCAAGAAAATTTTTTTTAAAGAATATGGTTGTAAAGATTTGATTTCTTTGTTTAACTGCATATCAACACTTTATGGTTCATTTGATACAGAAATTTAATTTTCTTGGGAGCTTGGAAGTAATAAAAATATAATATATGTTATTCTGCTTTCACAGTTGAATACATGGTAGATAATTCTCAGCTTTTGTGAATATACATGTTCGTGTGGACATAATTACTAGAGGCTGATATATGTGTTTTATGCATTTTGGAATATAGTTTGATTTTTTAAGAGGTTTTAGGTTATTATATGGATTAATGTCATGAAAGAGTTCTTTAATGTTTCTTGCTTGGTTAGTTGATTTTGTTTAGCGGCATATCAACCTCTATGGGTTATTTAATGGCGAAATATAAATATGTTGAACACAATTCTATGGCTTCAGCTACAGAAAAAATGTGTTGCTGGTCATTTTTCAGTAAAATGTATTGTTGGTAATCCTGCTATAAATAGGTAGTGTTGGTATTTTTATATAAAAATGCGTTGCTGGTACTTTTGATATAAAATGTATTTTTATACTTTCATAGTCTTGTTTTTGATTGTGAGTTCACTATTTACCCATAGCTGGGGGCCTTAACACACTGGGAACAATAGTAATTAGGAAGTAGTTCCACACTCCTCAAAACCTCCAATCTCCCGATCAGAGTCCTTGCTACGGGATGTACTTTATCGTCATACCCAAGAGTACGGATGTAAAGAAAGAGAAAAGGTGCAGAATATTAAGAACATTTTTTAAAGACAATAAAGCGACTAAACTACCACATTTACGTAAATATTAACAAAGTGAAATATGTAAGTTGGTCAAAGAACTACATAAAACTTATTGGTGATAAATGTAGAGCTACATTGGTTGTTCCTGATAGCTGGAGTATAAGTTCTTTCATAGAAATAGCCAAAACGATATGGTCTGGTACTTCTGCTATGTATTCAGAGAATTTTGATAAGATCAAAAGAAGAAGCTGCAATGTTATCGGTCCTGACCTGGCATCTTGACTACAGTCTCTTTTCCATCGCCGTAGCGTAGCCATTCTTTAAATATTGTTCTAATCATCTTTCCTCTTTAGCACCTCAACTTTATGAATTTAGATGCATTCCTAGACTGTAAACGAGGTTTCATCCTTTTAGAGGTGAAATGGTTAGTTGTAACCGTAAGTTCTATGCTAACAGTTTCTTCTCTCGAACTTCTTACCTGTGGTATTCTCTTCCGGCCGCTTGCTTTCCACTCAATTTTTATCTTCAAAAATTTAAATGCAATTTCGTTCATTATCTTTTTTCTTCTTAATTCCTGTTATTTTGTTTTTTTTCGCTCCTTATATAATGTATTTCTTTTTTTCTTCAATTTTCACACTCAGTGACCGCCTTGAGTCTTAGTGGCTTTATTGCTTTACTTGGGGCGTTGTGGTGTAATGGATATCGGCTCGGAATGAGAAAAACGGAGAGCCGTGTTCGAATTCCAGAAGGGTTCGTTACTTCCACTTATGCGCAAATACTATTGAGAAAGGCATGAATCCACCTCTTCCCCTTCCAGCCTTCTAACAAAGAAGAATGGGTCATATAGCCTTGGTTGTCAACCAGTCTACAACTAAAAGAAACGGCAACCAACTAAGGAAAAAAAATCTTCTGTCATGAATTGAAAAAAGACAAGATCGCTTGTATCACGTATGACACTTGACTGACTGACTGTAGGCAATAATATTATAATTCTCAAATTAGACAATGGCTCACAATTGGGACAGAGAAAGATTGTAATTTGTTGCACAAGTCATGTTTTAGAAGTTCAAATAACAACTGAGAAGATTTAATTATATATTCATTACAAAACTGATTATTATCGCATTACCGAAAAGGAAACAAAAAAAATGGAATGAAACTAAAACTGTAATAATGAAAGAAAATTACCGTATTTCCCCATGTATAATACGCTTTCATCCATAATACGCACCCCTAAAATTGTGCTGAAAGTGTGGGAAAATGTTTCTACGCACGTATAATACGCACCCCTTGTTCGGTAATCAAACCCTATAAATTGTACATCCCCAATTAAAAATGGTTTTTAACATAGAATAATATTATTCTAATTTAGTTTTATGATAATTATTATTTTACATTTGTAAGTACTTTTAGGTACATATGATTGTATTTGTCATCCTTATGTGGTCGCAATCACCGAATGTTAGTATCAAATTGTCGTATGTTTGTGGTGAGTTGTCATTTCGCAACTGAAATCGACCGATTAAACGTCATTTTTTAAAGATTTTTTTGTTGCTGTGTATAATACGCACCTCTAATTTTGCTTAATATGTTTTAGAAAAAATGCATATTATACATGGGGAATTACGGTAATCCTATAATAGAAAGAGAATGAAGGATGAATAACTGGTGAGGGCAATAGAGTATCTATGAACCCATACTGACATAAGAATAACGAAAAAATCTATTCACGTATATGTGATATTATGTACACAAATTATATATTTCTCTGGTCTATATACTTTGGATTAATTTATAAATAAAAATTCTGTTCTATTTTGTATAATAAAAGCTCATACACGCAACAAAAATTATTATCAATAAATTTTATTATATATAAACTGAACTTCACATAATATATTATTTGAGAAATATGCCATTGTGCAAATTGATTGAAACAACCGCTTTAGTTTCCTTTCTTTCACCATATGGTCAATTGTAAAACACTGGAGTGACAGTGTAAACGATTTTATTTTTCCTCAGATTATCTATTTTCCGGGTGTATGATGAAATTTTATTAGCTTTGAAAAATATTGCGTCATCCAGGATTGCATCAGATTCACGCCCAGATACTATTGTCTCGGCAGTCGATTAGTTGTCCTATGGCCATTGTCTGCGATGGACGTTACTCCAAGGAAGCGTACGAATCTTGTAACGCTACATGAACACACTGGCAAGCCTTAGCAGAGAGCAAATCAAAGTAGTTTAGACTAATGTGAAAACTCTCCTGATTTAATTCCAATCGAGAATCTGTAGTCAGTCTACAATGAACGACTATATGGAATGAGCATACGAAGTACTAACATGTGCAGTGGGTCATGTTTCATTGAAAACATACGAAAAAAGTAAATAATAATGGAATTATTCGTTTTGTTTCAATTCATTTCACGAGCCCATACGGACGCAAAAATAACGACATAATCTATTTACGTATATGTGATAGTGCTTAGAGAAATTATATATTTCTCTGGTCTATTTACTTTGGATTAATTTATAAATAAAAATTCTGTTTTACTTTTCATAATACTTAATTAATTTATAAATAAAAATTTTGTTTTATTTTTCATAATACTTAATTAATTTATAAATAAAAATTTTGTTTCATTTTGTTAACTAGTATATATATATATATATATATATATATATATATATATATATATATATATATATATATATATATGGAGCCGGTAATATACATACTTATATGTAATAATAATTTTTAAATAA